CAACCCAGACACACCAGGCTACAGGTATATGAGAACCAGGTTTTAGAAGGTACAGCCTTGCTGGAAGAAGCACATCACTGGGGGTGGTCTTTGAAGTTCTTAAGCCTTGCCAGATTTCCACCTCCTCTCTGCTACCTGTGCCTGCTTGAAGATATGATCGCTTGGCTTTCTGCTCTGCTGCTATGCCTCCCCCTCTAACTTTCTGAATCATAAGTCAAATAAACTCTTCCTTCCGTAAGTTGCCTTGGTCATGGTGTTTTATCACAGCAACAGAAAAGCAATTAATACAGGTGTCTGCCTCAATCACTCTCCACCTTTTTTTAAATTACATTTTCTGTGTTTTGTGTATGTACATAGCATACATGTGGATGTCAAAGGACAACTTGTGGCAGTCAGTTCTCTCTTCCCACCAAGTGGGTTCTGGGGACTAAACTCAAGTTGTCAGGCTTAATGGCAAATGCCTTTACCCACTGAGCCATCTTACCATACCTTCATATTTTGTTTTTGAGACAGGGTCTCTCATTGAACCTAGAGCTCATCAATTCTGCCCAGCTTGCTTGCCAATGAGCTCCAGAGATCCACCTGTGTATACCCATCCCTCCCCCCACAATACTAGGATTACCACTCCCCTGCCAGGCTTTTTATGTGGGTGCTAGACATCTGAATTTGGCTCTTCATGCTTAGATAGCAGATACTCTTCCAAGTGAGCCATCTCTCCATGCCTCCTCTCCTTTTTGTTTTTCTTTTTATATTTTATTATTTTTATTTTATGTGTATAAGTGTATTGCCTGCATGTAGGTAAGTTAAGTGCACCCATGTCGTGAGGAGTTCAGAAGAGGGTGTCAGATCTCCTGGAACTGGAGTTAGAATGATTGTTAGCTGCCATGTGGGTGCTGGGAATCGAACTGTTAACCCCTGAGCTATTTCTCCAGACCCATGCACTTTATTCTACAGACAGTTGTTAGCTGCCATGTGGGTGCTGGGATTCGAACCCAGGTCTTCTGTAAGAACAACCAGTGTTCTTAACTGCTGAGCCATCTCTCCAGCCCCTCCTTTCTGTTTTTAACACTGGAGATTTTACTTAGGGCCTCATACATGCTAGGAAAGTATTCTAATGCTGAATGGCAGTTCTGGCCCTTGAATAAAGAAAACACACTTTAAAGATTCAATGTCTAGGTTTTGTTTATAGGCATCATGGACCAATTCCAGTTTCACTTTGACCTAAATGGTGCCTTGGGAGAAATGCAAGACTCCAGCAGGCTTGGGAGTACAAAAACCTCCCACTACACAGAGAGAGATGATGTTAGATTATGGGCCTACTATATTAAGACACTGGTCACTCTACAAGACCACATCTACAGCCTAGAAAAATCAAGCCATGCCCTGCCACAGCTCTCTGAGACAGAGTTAAGAAGCCATGCTGTGCTGTCCTGTGACCTCACAGCCCCTCCCCCCACAAAGCTTCAAGAGATATTTATGGCTCTATCCAGGACCTGGTTCTTTGACATTTACATTGAACTAAATCATACACTGTAAAATTTCCCACCAGTCCCTAAAAACATAAAAACAGAGTATTCCTTTGTTTGGGGAATTTCTCTAAAAGCCTGGCTCACCACCACCACCATCATGCTACCCATGGTGGCTCTTTCACTTTAAGCTATCTTTTATAATCTTTCCATAATGTCTATAATGCTCTCTCACTTCACAGCCTAATCATGGCCCCCATGATCCTGAAGCGCTCTCTCTCTCTCTCTCTCTCTCTCTCTCTCTCTCTCTCGTCTCCCCTCTCCTAATAAAGTTCCTTTTAAAGGATAATCTCCTATTAGCTCCCTTCCTGGACCTGATGATCTCATTTCTAACAATGATAATGATGGAAGCATGCAGAAGGCAGTAAGGAGAGAAACAGTAATGCCATAAGTTCTCAGAGACAAGGCTGACCACACAACCAGAAGGACAAGACTAAACTTTGGATGATTATCTGCCTTGATTTGATTCTCTATAGAATGCATTAGTTGGAAATGGCTAGGGAAGGCATTGACTTAGTTACATCTGTCTTCCCAGATTGCCTGTTCTATGAATAAAATTCAGCTTAAATATTTCTGCCTGACTAGTGGCATCTATAGCAACAAGCAGAACTTACTATCATATCTGAGTTACATGATGATTAGGAGGCCTCAGAGTAAGACTAATGAGATAGATTTCAGGAACTGAACAAACATCAGGCTGGGTGTTACATTACATAAGAGAAAAGCCTGCTACACAAACAGCTACAGAACAATTATTGGGGAGGAGGTGGAATGAACCTTATGAAACAAATATAAAAAAAGAAAATGAGCCGGGCGTGGTGGCACACACCTTTAATCCCAGCACTTGGGAGGCAGAGGCAGGCAGATCTTTGTGAGTTCCAGACCAGCCTGGTCTACATAGGGAGTTCCAGGACAGCTGGGCTACAGGGAGACCCTGTCTCAAAAAAAAAAAAAAAAAAAAAAAAAGATGAATAGAAATTTATTTTATGATTGAGCCAAAGTCCTTCAAGTTAGTCCACAAACTTAAGTTTTCAAATAAAATCAGTGTAGCATTCTATCCTTCTGAGGCGTCTGACTAAAACATACACAGGGAAAATACCCTAAGACTGGAGCTCTGTGCACAAGCCAAAAACTGCAGGGGCAAGAGTGAGACTGGACACACCCTCTCTAGCCCCTCCAGGAGCCCTGCCAACAATTCCTTCCAGGCCTCTGGATGTCAGAGTCGTAAAACAACAGACCACTGTGGTTCTGGGCCACTTGATTTGGTTATCACTTCTAGCTGTCTGAGAATGCTGGCCCACTGAGAAAATGAGAACAAAGAAAGGCAAGAGGCTACTTCTCTGGAGTTGGTCACAGAGCCTCTACTTTGTTGATCTTGTATTGATATCAGGCTAAGTTACTCCGTATTATATAACACAATGGTTTTTCAGACTGTGCCTTGCCCTGAATGATTACATTTCACAAGCATTTTTACACTCCATTTTGAGGATGGTAGATAACTTAGAACCTGAGTGGACATATGAACAGCACCATCTGTCCAGCACCACCCATGCAGCACAGGCTGATAAATGACTTACTCTTGGATGTAGAAAGGGTGCCATCCTACAAATTTATCAGGGTAAATGGAGACTGTAGGGGCACATGGGTATATTCAGATTAGTTCAGGGAATTGAGGCTGAAGACCTTACAGAACACACCAAACAGAAAATGGCATAACCCTCACCTAGACCCCCAAAAGAGGTGGACAATCAAGCACTGCAATGGAGATGGCTCCACTGACCTGTCAGCTCACCACCAGTATGTTCATCAAGGGCCAATAGGCAGAGAACTCCCAAATGCTCAGGGCCTTCAGCTTGGCTAACTCCACTATTGCCACGACCTACTCAATTGCTGTTTGTTCATCATCCTACTCAACTGTCTGGACCTGCCATCCATCTGTTATACCTGTTCCTTCATCTAGACCTACTCCTGCCCTTTCACCTCTGCAGCTAGATTCAACTCTGCAGCTTTGCTCTTCAATCTGTGACCTACAGTGGCCTGACTCAAGACAGCAACAGTTTCTCCATATTCTTCCCTTCAACTTGATTTGGTTCATTATCTTATTAATACAAACGCTATCTACATCTCTATCAGCCTACTTCTGAAGCCTGTTGTGTCATCTTAACTCTTTACAGTCATTCTGTAACCTGCAGATACATATATATCTAGCATATATATCAGACACACATAATATCTAGAGATATTTGCTATTTGATGTGTAATGTGTGATCTGGGAGTTAATGTTTAATTACGATTGGAATAAAAGAAACTGTGTTCACTTAGCCAAGATTACTAAGGAAATTGAGAATACTTGGTAATTAATTGTTGCCACAGAAACCACCATACCTTGTGAATTTGTTACTATTCTATAAATTCTAACACCATGGAAAGAAACATAATTAATCTATGTTTCTGACATAGGGCACCCAGGAGCCCAGAAAGCCAGGGGCTAGACAAACCCTACTCTTCACATCACCTCCAACCTTGAACCCCAACCCCAACCCCTTGATCCTGATACTACTGGTTCTTGACCTATCTTAAGTGAGCAAAAAGACCTCTCTGCCCTACTGTAGTTGCTTTTGGGTTTTTTTAAAATATTATTTTTATATGTGTGTGTTGCCTGCATGTAGGTAAATGCACCCATGTCATGCAAAGCTCGTGAAGGACAGAAGAGGCTGTCAGATCACCTGGAACTGGATTTATGGACAGTTGTTAGCTGCCATGTGGGTGCTGGGATTCGAACCCGGGTCTTCTGCAAGAACAGCCAGTGTTCTTAACCGCTGAGCCATCTCTCCAGCCCTCTTTTGATTTTTTAAATCTCAGGCTGATTTACCCCAGGCTGATCTAGAACTCACAATCCATGTGTCTTTGCCACCTGAGTACTAAGACTATAGTTGTGTGCCACCTGCCCAGATGATGCTCCCTAGCTGTTCAGTTTTCATGACATCATTCATTATATTACAAGTTCATATTACAAGTTCAAACCCTTCGATTCATTTGGTTCACCAATTCCTTATGTTCCGTTTTCAATTAAATCTCTGAAATCAAATTTCATTTTCAATTCTGGCATACAGATTTAAGTATTTATACAAATATGACTTTATATAAGAACCATACTTATTGAATCAAATAAATACTATACATATTTTAAGACATTTGCTATCCTTTAGCATTCTTGAAATATGAAAAATGTGTCAAAATATCAAACATAGATGCTCTTCAAAGTTCTTTCCAATCTGTCTATTCCAATTCACATTTATTGGTTATGAACAGTAGGTGGCCTTTCCTCCATCTTCTGCAAGTATTACAGAATTAAACAATAAAAATATCTAGTGAAAAAAAATATATGTTAACAAGGAAAAAAATATATTGTTAAAAGTTTTAAAAAGAATGTAATCAAGAATCCCACACTGGACATAAAAACAATTATGAGAATAATGTCTTAACTACTTTTTTATTGATTGATTCATTTGTGTTCATCCATGTGACACATCTCATTAGAATCAATATTTCTAATTTCTTGGATTTCCACTTGTAAGTTCCACACTGGCAAATGTATTTTTGCGTACACCTTTGATCACTACAAGAGAACTTACGTTTAAAATGCCAACTACTCGAAACATAAACAGTTGCCAAGAATGTTGTTTACAATATAGATTCTGAAGACAAACATTTGACTATATTAAGATTTACTAGTATGAAAACAGAACATAGTATATTACAATGAATTCTGGCAGCAAAGTACTTACAGAAAATTTTCAATTTTCTATTGGTTTTATAATATAAAGACCAATCTATTTCTCACATATATTACAACTATATTTAACTGAATTCTGGTTTTAAAATCACAAAACAGATAGCATGTAAATACAAAATACTAAGAAAAGTTTAACATATAAAGAAAAAACATGTATGCATTGCAATCATTTTTTTTTATCCAGCATAAAGGTAAATGTGGCTGTTCCAAAACACGCCCATATTCAATAACAGGGAAAAATTCAGTAAAGCCATCTAATATACAGACTTCACAGATATCATTTATTTAATATTATATTCAAAATTTTCTGTGAAACATAGAAGTCTAGCTAACAGAGTTAATGTTGACAGGGATCTGCAAACTATAAAACATTAGCAAGTCAGGTTAGAGCATGCATTTCTCTCTGAAAGAAAAGAAGCCGGACTTTAAGTTAAAAGGCAGATTAAAAACAACTATGAACTTTCTTTAACACAGTTTATATTTACCAATGTAGGGCAATATATGTTCTCCCAGCTACACATGCAGACTACATTGTGTGGTTAAAAAAAAAAAATGATTCGCCTAATTTTTTTTTCAAAAGCAGAAAAGATCCAAAATAACCATTTAAGATGTAGAAATCATAGGCCTATCAAGCCCCTCCCTGCAAGTCACAAGAGGCTAAGGTTAAAGTAAATCATAAAAATCACAGCACTTAATCCAACATTAACACTTTAATTTGGGGTTATTACTAACAATTTACACTTTTCTTTGGGTAAAAAAAATATTTTTTAAAAGGGGCCAACTTTTGGAATCAGCAGTATAACTTCAAGTCCTGCCATCTGACAGCCAGAAAGGTTTTTTTGTTTGTTTTGCTTTTTGTTGTTTTTTTCATAAACCTACAACTTGATAGAACGTTCTCAACACCAAAGGCCTGGAGAAGATGGATTTCACAAATCACTGAGTTAAACTGTTTTAATGCAATGGAGCTAGTAAAATACATTTGCTCTTAAGAAAATTTACAAAACTAACAAATTTTTTTCTCCAGAATTATAAAAGATAAAAATCTATGAATCATTATTCTAATGTGATCACAGAAAGATAGCAAACTGAAGTCAAGAAGCACAGGCTGTTTGCAACATTCTCTAGTCTGATATGCCCTGCAGTCTCGCCACTACTCTGAGAACTCACATATCAACACCTAAGAAACCTATTCTGTCTTTGCAGTTGGTCATGAATGATTCATGAATCATCCCTAAGGTTAGAGAAAAGCTTATCACACATAGATTTAAAAAAAAAAAAAAAAAGGAAAGAAAACTCTTTTTTTTTCTAGAATATTTTGTAAGATTTTACTTGATGATGGTTCCTATAAAGTAACAGAAGATATGGGGTGGGGAACAAATTGCTTGGAAGTCTTTGGAAATTTCAGAAAGACATCTGGCAGTTTATCCTTTTATTCCTCCTCATTTTTTCCTTTTAAAAATTACAGTTGATAGTTCATGTAAGATGTGATTAGTTTGATTAAAATAAGGGCAGCTTTCCTCACCTAGAAAACTACAAATGTCAGTGGAACTCAGTGACAGCATGTAAAAGGTCCATACCATAAAATTCAAGCTCAGTGATGGTATGCCACATCTAGAGAGAAGATGTCACACCTTTACAGTCAGTCTTGCCCCTTGCTTCACAAAGGATCAGTTCAGTTCCAGCCCCTTGTGTAAATTTGCCTGGGAAAGGGAAGATGTCATGCTCCTCGCTCCTCCCACTGGATCATGTTTCAGCAGAGCCAACAAGACGCTCCCCACCTGAGGAAAACACTTCTATGCACTGTCTTGTTGGATTGTGCTTAAATAAATCACACCATTGCATCAAAGTTTTGGAGGATAGTCAGTAACCAAGAAAGGGAAAAGACGTGAGAAACCAGGCCAAGAGCTCCCTCTGGGCATCCTGGCACCCCTTTCCCACGGCTTACTTTTCCCTGTAATACAGCAGGTAGTACTTCAGCGGGTCCGGAAGAGGAAGGCGTAACACTCTCTGGCGAAGGAAATTTACGGGGGGCTCAGGCTTGACCTCCCGCGGGGTCCTCTCTGCCACTTGCCGCTCCTCCTCTCCATCCTCACAGCTGGTGTCATCAGAGGGGTTGGAAATTCGACTGGCGAAGACTTCCTTGTCCAAAAAGACAATGGTCTCCATTCGACGGCGGCGGACTCGTCTTCTTTTAAACATAGGCGTGCTCTTCAGGCCGCTTCCACCTCCGTCTCCTCCTCCTCCGCCTCCTCTGGCCACTTCCTGGCGCATGGCCCTCTTGATGCTGCCACGGATGGCAAGACGTGCCAGGTCCTGTAGGCTGCGCACGGCTGGCGGCGCTGCGGACAGGGGCAGAGCCTGTGGGCGTGGGTGGGGCCAACCCCCGCACCTAACTGACCGGAAGGACTTTAAGGAAGGGGAGCATTCTAGACAAATATAAACCAGTGGTCTACTCTGCACCATGTCACTGGCTAAATTTAAATTTTTAGGGTTTATTCTTGCAGCCTCTATTTAAAACTGTTCACTGATGGTAATAATATACACCCAACAATAATACAGTAAATATACATCTTTAACATCCTTTTACCTATTTTAATATTAACAGCAATTTATAAATTGAATATTTGTTCCCTTTTTTCTATAAAAGTCAAGTGCAAATCTAAAAACATTTTAAGAAAAACAAAAATTCCCAGGCACACCAAAGAAAAAGAATATTTGGAAACTAAATTAAAGCTCACAATTCAACGGAGACAATACAACAATCTATAAGAACTTTTCTTACTTTGTGCTTTGCTATGTGGCTTCTCACTTCTGTTCTCATCAACTTCATGAGTCTAGGAAAATCTGGCCTGGCAGGATAAAAACTACAAATACCCTATCTGACTGATCACCTTAGGAATGCTGACCAAATCTCATAAATATTTATCACCCAACCCTCAAAATGAACATGTCAAGAGGCAATACATGCTCAGGGTTTCTATACAGGCCTGACAAGCCCTCACACAGAAACACTAATTTTTAACCGGACACTCAAAAGGTCTTACAAATGCTCTCTCGAGTCCTTGTCTTCAAAATCCAACCATAGCTCCAGATAGTGTGTTCCCTTATCAAGGGCCACTTTGGGGGGGGGGGGGGGCAGGGCTTTTTGAAACAGGGTTTCCCTGTAGCCTCAGCTGGCCTGGCACTTGCTATATGTAGCCCAGGTTGATCTCAATCTCACAGAGACCTGTCTGCCTCTGCTTCCCAAGTGCTGGGATTAAAATCAAGAGTCACATTTGCTTAAAGAACAAAATTTCCCTACAGGGGTTTTCAGAGCAGGTATCTAACAAATTCACCCACCAAGGTTTTACATCGGATATTGATGTGCTGCATCTTCATTAACATCAGCAGCACCCCACAGTCACACAATGAATTTAAAACTCAATCTATATACCAGTTTCTCCCACTCTGACCACACCAGGGAATGTGTGTCCCTAACTTTGCTCTGGTTCTGCTAATACCTTTCTCCTCTTCTCTCTTAAGGGAATTCCTTCTTGCCCTGAAAACCAAGCATATCATCCCCTATCAAACAAACCTTCTCTGGTTCCTCTAACTCCTCTGTGTGTTTCACTGTTGCTTGTTACCAAATTTCAGGACCTTTGTCTATATCATATGACATGAACTAGGCAAAGTGGGTTAAATGACTATCCACAAACTGAAGAATATTTCTAGAAGGAATTCTTCAAAATGTATTTGCATTTCAGTGCTGGAACTATCTATAATAATTTCTTTCTCTCTTTCATTTACATTTTGCAAATGTTTTAAGTGACCAGAGAATATGATGAACAGTCTTCATTTAAATCACTCCATTGGAATCTCTATTTCTTCTATGTGAGTTACTTAAAATGTAAAACATCAGGATGAATGTCACCCCTGTGTGAACTCCATACTGGGTCTGTACCCTGAAGATGTAAACACAAACCCTCAGAATGTGTGAGGCCACACAGTTTCCAAGATACACAGTACAACAGGCTCTTCGCCCATATCTGCCCATACCAGCAGTAGCCAGGTGCTGAAAACAGATGAACAGACGCCCTGTGCTCAAATGCTCAAGTGCCCCTATACTCTCCCAGTAGGCAAGGCAAATTGCCAAAGATTCCCATGTGGCAAAATAAGCTCCCTTTTTTGTATGAATCTACATTCTCTCTCTCTCTCCTCTCTCTCTCTCTCTCTCTCTCTCTCTCTCTCTCTCTCTCTCTCTCTCTCTCTCCCTCTCCCCCCCCCCCCCCCCCCCCTTGAAACAGGGTCTTCCCTTAGCTCCCAGACAACCTGAAACCTGCTACGTAGACAAGGCTAGCCTCAACCTCAGATCTTCCTGCCTCTGCCTCCCAAGTGCTGGGATTAAATGTATGAATCTGATACTTTTCAAAAGCATGACTAGCAATAGCTCTTTGTAGATTTTAAAAGGCTAAAATAATCTAAGATGGGCAACATACAGATAATTTTTATTTTTCTATTTTTATTTTTTAAATAATTTATTATTTTTATTTTATGTGTATGAGTGTTATGCCTGCATGTATGTAAGTGCACCCATGTCATGCAATGCCCCCAGAGGACAGAAGAGGCTGTCGGATCCCCTGGAACTGGAGTTACAGACAGTTGTTAGCTACCATGTGGGTTCTGGGATTCAAACCTGGGTCTTCTGCAAGAACAGTCAGTGTTCTTAACTGCTAAGCCATCTCTCCAGCCCCCATACATCTCTCCAGCCCCCATACAGATAATTGTTAAATGTCTAAAATCTCATATAATCTCATATAATTTGAAGGCTGCAGTAGGGATTAAACACTCTTTTTTTTTTGGTCTTTTTTTTGAGACAGGGTCTCCCTGTAGCCCTAGCTGGCCTGGATTCTCTATGGAGAATTCACAGAGATCCGCCTGCCTCTGCCTCCTGAGTGCTGTGATTAAAGGCGTGGGCCACCACACCCAGCTTAAACACTCTTTAATATAAAAAGCTTTCTTGTACATTTTGTTTCCATTCACATTTTAATCAGAATAAAAGATCTAAAAAATAGATAAGACACTTGTACTCACGTAGCTGGACAAGTCTGGACTGTCCTGACTCTGAACGGCAGGGCTGGACCAGAGGGGCAAAGGAAACAGCCAGAATCTTTTTTGTTTCCCAAGCACAAGGGCCTGTGCGTGTTATCTTGGTCAACTATCTCAAAGACAAAAGGAAAATATCCAAAGGATTTGGCTATTAGCTTATAAGTATAAGATATAATCATTTTTATATATCAAACCTAAAAAAACCAGTTGCACTAAAATGAAATAGCCTGATAAAAAGTCACCTAAAGTGATGTGACATACTTATGAATATTCTTGCAAATGCTTAGAACATACCCAAGCTCCTACCTTCTGTTGACAAAAAATATAAATGATAAAGACACTAAGTACTACAAAGGCAACAATGAGATCTGAAAGAGAGGTATTCATACCAAACAACTTTTTGGGCCCTTCAAAACCAATCAGTGGTTGGGGGTAACCTGGGGGGACCTGTCCTCAGCAAAAATAACTGAAGATGCACAAGAGCCACATCATTGCAACCACATGGAAGCCTGAATTCAACATGCTCCGTCTAGGCGTATAGCTGCAGTAGTACCTGAGGCACATGACATCTGTACCTGCAACAGCCAGGGAACAGGAGAGGCCCAAATGCCAGACACTACTGCAGTATCACTATGATTTTCTTTAATGCAAATGTGTCACTCTGGATACCTAGGTAATTCTCCTTGCTCTCCCTGACAGCACTTCAGGAGTACAGTAGCATATGCTGGCTGATACACAACAGTGTAAGTCATCAAAGCACTTTATATTATAGGGTTAGCTCCAGAAAATCCAATTAGACAGCACAGCTCCATGTGTTCAAGTGACTAGGACAGTCTACAAACGGCCCAAATAGGTCATAGAACTGCTAAGATTATATGCTCGTCTTCTAAAATCATCTAAGCCAGAAAATCATCTAAAATTAAGACTCTAAAAGGATTAAGTAGCCCACTTACTAGGTAAATTTCAAAAAAGTAATCATCATGCTCCTAGATAACAGCAATTTTTTTTTTTTGAGTCTTTTTGAGACAGGGTCTCCCTGTAGCCCCAGCTGTCCGGGAACTCACTATGTAGACCAGGCTGGCCTTGAACTCACAGAGATCCACCTGCCTCTGCCTCTTCAGTATATCCCACCAGCATGCCCCACCGCAACCGGCAAGAATTTTTTTTTTTTTTAAATTATATGTGCATATGTGTGTCTGTATGTGGATATATGTATATGTAAGTACAGGTACCCCTAGAGTCCAGAAGAGACCATCGAATCACCTGGAGCTGGAGTTACAGGTAGTTGTGAGTCTCCTAACATAGGTGTTAGGAAAGGAAGTTTGGTCCTTTGCAAGAGCAGTACGTACTCTTAACCCCTGAGCCATCTCTCCAGAAATACTTTTTAAATGTAAGTTTCTAGCTATAATGAATATCAAATATTTAAATATAACCCACAAGTGATATATGAGACTTTAAATAAAAATATAAATCCCTATTTCGTTCTAGATAAGCAGATGGAAATAGCATGGGGATGTCTATGATCCTCAAATTAATCAGAATTAAATGATCCCAATCAAAAATCCAATGCAATATACAACACAGCAGATTTCTAATGCCATGTGTACAAATAAATATTTAAGGGGCTGGAGAGATGGCTCAGAAGTTAAGAGCACTGGCTGCTCTTGCAGAGGGCTCATGTTCAATTCCCAAAACCCATATGGTGCCTAATAACCGTCTCTAACTCCAGTTCCAGGGGATCTGAGCTGCTCTTCTGACTTCTGTGGACACTGCATGACACAAGTGCACTTACACACATGCAGGCAATACACTCATACACATAAAATAGAAATAATATTTTTTTAAAAAAAGAAATATTTAAAACCATGTCTAAGAGTGTAGAATGAAATGGAAGAATCCAAATTCATCACACACTGCAGTAAAAGAAAACAGCAGAACCATGGGAGTGGCAACGGAAGCACATGGACCAGCTTCTCTCAGGTTGCTGGTGGCATTGCTCTGAAAGGACAGTTTGAAAATTGTAGCCTTTGGCCAAATACTTTTACCTTTGAGAGTATCCTTGGAGGAGATTGTGAACATAAAGATTAAGAGAAAAAACAGTCACAAGAAGATACACACAGGCTCTTCCTAGAAGTTTATAGCAGGAGGAAAAAAAAGCTGAAAAGAACCAAAATATTCACACATTCTTAAAAACAGAAGATTTTTATAAATAGACAATATAAGGAGAAAAAGAACTTCCAGATATAGTGAAAATCACATGCTTAACAAAACTTACAAGAAAACTATAAACAGATGAAACATGTTTGTACACAGTCTAAAATATAAACTAAAAAAGCAAAACAAAACATGATCACCTATAGGTGAAGGAACAGAGTAGGCAGACATGCATACACAGGAATTCATAGTGTTTCATATTCTAGACTTGGGAGCTTTGTAAATATTTCAAAAAGTTAAAAACCTAGAATGGGGGCTAGAGAGATGGCTCGGCGGTTAAGAATGCTGGTTGTTCTTGCAGAAGACCCAGGTTTGAATCCCAGCACCCACATGGTAGCTAACAACTGTCCTAACTCCAGTTCCAGGGGATCCAACAGCCTCTTCTGTCCTCTGCGGGCATTGCACAACACGGGTACACTTACCTACATGTAGGCAAAACACGCATACACATAAAATAAAAATAATAAAATATAAAAAAAACCCTAAAATGACAATCCCTAGAAGCTGAAAAAAAAAAAAGTAAATGAATGTGATGAATGTGTATCAGGTTGGTGGCATAACTTTACTGCGATGTATTATTTCAAATTTTAAAATTGGATTATATGTGCCTAGTGAAAGAGAAGAGGGGGAAGGACAAAAAGAAGTAAAGTCTTGGGTGAGGGTATAAATCTGTGGTAGAGCATTTGTCTACAATGTGGAATGCTCTGGGTTCAAGCCCAAGCACCACAAACGGATACAAATTCTACAAAGAAGTAAAATTTTAACTAGTTTCAGAAATCAGACTGCCAGTGGTACCAGTGATGCTGTATGCTGCAAACAGTAAAAAGAGGAGAAACACTGCAACCAACACTACAGAAGTGAGAAAGCACTCTGATCCCAATTTGGGGTTTTTAAGTTGCTAGGCAGAAGTTAAGGTGAATTTTAGCTCAAAACAAAGCAAAACTGCCCCATGTATCTGTGTACATCCTTACTCTAAAAGTCCACTAAAAACATAAAACCAGGGTCAATAAGCACCCTGGGGCCCCAAGTGTGGTCTCCAGATACCAATTCACCCTAAAGTGAAATAGAGATCCTCAGAAAAATGGTTATTAACAAATAATAGGGGCAAAAACTTAGAAAGTTAAATCTGAAACACCTTTGTTTTTCAACTAGCAGCAAAGTGATCACAGACCACTGAAGCTGTATGAAAGCCCAAGAGCCAACCTGAAATAGTTCTGGCCAAAGATGGGACAACCCAAGCTTCCCTAACAATCATGCTATGATTAAAATATATTTTTTAAATCTTTGAATTCACAATTATACTTTTAAAAAAAAGTGATGCCTCATTCATCACCACCCTTTGGCAAAAAAACAAATTACTGAGAAAAAAAGCAAAGATTAAAAATCAAAATATATTCAACCCTCCTGTGTAATGTATACTTCAGGGGTACCTAATCAGTAGTAAGGAGTTTCCTCTTTTATAGACATTAACCAGCACCTAAACACAGAAGAAATGAAGGAATTCTAATTAATATTCTACTGTCACTAATGAAATGATGGATCAGGTCACAATCATTTCACAAAGATGAAGAAAGAGAAAACAAGTGTGGTATGCCTAGATGTGCACGTAGAGCTGGCTAAAGCTGGCCTTTGTATCCAAGGTTTCTATGTGCACAGTTCCAAACAACGGTATGCCAAAAATATTCAGAAAGTAAATTGTGGATTATTGAACATGTACATATTTTCTGTTTGTCATTATTCCTTAAGCAATAAAATAAACAATCTTTTACATAGCACTGAAACTGTATCATGTGTTATAAGTAATCTAGAGGTGATTTGAAGTACAAAAGAGGATACGTGTAGGTTATATGCAACTAGCATATTACATGAATTCACAAAAGGAATTGAAACATCTGCATATTCCATCTTGGGTAGAAGGAGTGGTCTTGGAACCAATCCCTGTATATATCAAGGGCAAATGTATAGTTTAACACATGTTAAGTACTCTTGTGTGTTCCTCCATCAAAATATATAAAACTTTATCAAGTCTCTAGATCTAATTATCAATAGGTAGAAAATACAGAGTACAGAAAAATATGTAATCTAATACCACAAAGAGATATAAACTACAAAAGTTAGACTGTAGGAAAGTTTATGAGACAAATGATGTAGTGCCTTGAGAAAAATCAGTCTAAGAGGGGCTGAGAAGATGGATCAGTGGGTTAAATGCTTGTCATACAAGCATGAGGAACAGAACTCCAATCCCCAGCACTCATTTAAATGGTAGGCAGGTAGGGTGGCCTACCTGTAATCCCAGCTCTTGGGAGAGAGACGGGATCCCCAAAGTAAGCTGGTTAGCTAAACTAGTCAAATCGGTGAGCTCTGGGTTCAAGAGACCCTGCCTTGATACACAAGGTAGAGAGCAATTGAGGACAACACCAGATATCAATCTTGCCTCCATGCACACTGGCATACATATGTGCACTCACACATGCAAACACATGTAAACACCCATATACACATGCACACACACACACACACAAAATACAAAACTAAGAGATATATCAACCTAAGGCAATAATGAGTCTTAAAAAGGACTCGCTTTCAAATAAACTATTAAAGAAATTTTTGAGACAGTAAGATAATATGAATATAAATTAAATAGTTGAAGATATTATTAGTATTCATTTTTAGGGTAATAATGATTTTGTAGTATATTTCAAACAAGACCTTTATCTTTTACAAATACCTACTGAAATACACACATGGATGAAAGTACTTTAAACTAGAGATGTTCACTAATACCTTATAGAATACTAACAGTAAAACACCACACCATACCCTAAAACTTGCTAATCCAGAGCCAGTTAATAAACTTGATCTATGCTTCACCAGGTTTCTTGTAAACTCCAAAATGAGGTAGATTAAAAATTAAATGACTTAAAATTATATTCATGAGCTCTTTTAAGTTGAAGCACTTAAGTTGTTAGTCTATACAAGAACCTTTTTGAAAAGAGAGGAATGTTAAGATAGTTCAGTGGGTAAAAGCACTTGCCATGCAAGCATGAGATCCTGAGTTCAGATCTCCAGAACCCACATAAAGCTGGACAGAATAGCATCTGTAATCTCATGGTTCCCATGGTTAGATGGGAGGGGGTGGTGGAGGGGTGAAGATAGGGGAATTTCCAGAAGCTTACAGGCCTGCATCAACGAACAAGAGACCCTGTCTCCAACAAGGTGAAAGATGAGGACAACAACACAGGAGGTTGCCCTCTGACACACCTGCCATGAAAAATGTGCAACCCCCCCCCACACACACACAGATTTTTTTTTAAGGGAGGAATGTGAATTAAAATCACTAGAAAAATCATATAATAATAATCTTTAAGTTAGGGAATAACAGTAGCTTTCCTATTTTTTTCTTTTTTTATATTTCTTATTAATTTCCATTTTATTCCTTTCTCAACCCACAATATAAGTTCTTAGTCAAATTTAATCCATTTTAATAGCTAAATTTCTTAGTCACCTATAACAGAACACAAAATGAATAAAAAGCTCAGTAAATGGTTACCAGATGAGTTGATTAATACATATTCCTCTTTATAGCAATTTCATGTTTGAAATGCCATTATAAATGACTGTTGCTCATAAAATAAGTGTCTACTTCTTCCTATAAGTTCCTTTTTCAGTATAGATTTTTCAATATATATTTTATGCATTTCATACAATACATCTTAGTTATATTAGACGCCCCCATCTGCACACCTCATAGCCCCCCACCAGATTTGATGCATTCTGTCATATATGTTAGACTATAGACTCAAGTTTGTGTCCTCAGATGTCCCTCAGTGTGAGTTTATCCACACTCAGTGAACAGTAGCTTTCTTAATGTTCACATTTTTTGCACAGTCTAAATTATATCTTAGTTTTTGAGCAAAATAAATACTAACATTTAAAAATTATACAAAACTGGGGCTGGAGAGATGGCTCAGTGGTTAAGAACACTGGTTGTTTTTGCAGAAGACCTGGATTCGAATCCCAGCATCCACATGGCAACAAAAATTGTCAGTAACTCTAGTCCCAGGGGATCCAACAGCCTCTTCTGACCAATGCGGGCATTGCATGACAAGGGTACACTTACCTACATGCAGGCAATACATGCATACACATAAAATAATAAATAAAACTTTAAAAAGTTCTATTAAAAAATTATACAAAACTTCAGAAAAAGCACAAGCTCCTCATTTTCATCATTTCAATTTTTCCTAGTTCTTCACTACGAACAGAAATTTTTCCTAGTAATCAATGCATGTCTGACTAATCTACTATTTTATTATGATCTATTTTCCCCAATGAAACACAATATATAAACCATACACAATTATGCATGAGCAAACAGTAAACTCGGACAAGATTCCCTCCAAGTAGGAATTCCTATAAAATACTTGCCATCAAGGTATTTAGCAAGTATACTAACAAGACAGAATTACTCTACTAATTTTGCATATAATAATTCTGACAGTAGAACAATTAGAATAACAATTAGAATTAAAAATAAGAGCTGGGATAAAGAGGAGGAAGAGAAGGGAAGGAACAAGGAAAAGGAGAAAAAAACGAGGAAAAGGAAAAAGGAGAAGAAAGCAAAACAGGTGTGAATGAGAAGAAAGTAAGAGAAGGGTTGCAGGTAGTACCTAGGGTCTGGGTGACCTGGGCAGTATACCTGTCCCCAGTTCATAAAATGGCAGAAGTATTGCAATAATAAACCTGTAAACTGCCTGGAACAAGCTGAGCATGGTGGTGCACGCCTTTAGTCCCAGCACTCGGGAAGCAGAGGCAAAAGGATCTCTGTGAGTTCAAGGCCAGCCTGGTCTACACAGTGAGTTCCAGGGCAGCTGGGGCTACAGGGAGACCCTGTCTCAAAAAGACAAAAAAAAAAAAAAAAAACTACCTGGAACAGACTCTGGTGGACAGGATATACAAACGTCAACTGTAAAGGGAACCTGACCTTCTCTTCCAGAGGCATGACAAGGATCCCTCCAACTTTGAGAAGATTCTTCATATATTCTTCATGTTCTTTCTGTACACCAGCCCCACAGTACACACGGTCATACTGACAACAATCTGGAGAAATCTCCAGGCAATTGCCAGTTACAAAGGAAGGTTCACAGAAATCAAACCTGCCAAAGTGAAAAAAAAAAAAAAGTATTTTCTGTAACTAGACTTATCATATTGCACCAGATACATAAAACAAATTTATCCTTAACCACAGGTTATGTTTATTTACAAAAATCTCAAAACAATGTAACACTTTACAGTCCGAGAAGCTGGAAGCTACACTTCCAAAAAAGAATTATACTATATAAATACAAGCTTAGAAATTACAAATAGAACAGAATGGAATCAAATGTTACAAGCATGATCCAAATATAAAGCAATGGCCAGCCTCAGTTCTCTCCACCATATAGGATCAAACTCAGGTCTGTCATGTTGGGTGGCAAGAGCCATCTCGCCAGCCCCAACATATTTTGAAAAGTACTTTTTTTTGTTGTTTTTGAGATAGGGTCTCATTATGACGATCAGGCTGGTCTGATCTGCCTGCCTCTGCCCACCAAACCAAAATGTGAAAATTACATTTTATTCTCTGAAATTTTCATTCCTTATAAGAATTTTAATGACTTCTTTTAAATGGCAAGAACTACTTATTTAAACTGTCTAGAGACAAACATAAAAATTTTATTTTAAAAACAATTAGGGGGCCAGAGAGATAGCTCAGCGGCTAAGAACACTGTTCTTGCAGAAGACCCGGGTTCAAATCCCAGCACCCACATGGCAGCTAATAACTGTCCATAACTCCAGTTCCAGGGGATCCGATAGCCTCTTCTGTCCTCTGCCAGCACTGCACGACACGGGTGCACTTACCTACATGCAGGCATAACACTCATACACATAAAATAAAAATAATAAAATATAAAAACAATTAGTTGATAAAAGTCTATATTGAGAGGCCATCACACTTTAAATCCCAGCACTCAGGAGGCAGAGGCAGGCAGATCTTTGTGAGATCCAGGCCAGCCTGGTCTACATGTGAGTTCCAGGTCAGTTGGAGCTGTGGGAGACCCTGTCTCAAAAAAAAAAAAAAGGTGTATATTAGAATGTGAAAATGTTTCAACATCAGGTATCTTCCTCTATCATTCTCTATCTTGCTTTTTGAGGCAGGGTCTTCCACTGAACCTAAAGATCAACAGATCAACAACTCAGCTGGATTGGCTGTCCAGGTAAGGATCCTCCTGTCTCTGTTTTCCAGCACTGACATCACAGGCAACACACTGATATGCCCAGGTTTTTACATGGGTTCTAGGGATTTGAACTCAAGTACCATAGTCATAAAATATAAAGCCCTTAAAACCACAGGATATTAAAACAGTAATTAGAGTAGGCACACATATAACCTGGCATCATCCAACCACAATTTAGCCATGTTTACTGGCATATACATACTAATAAATTGGTTTTTTTCTAAATTAGATTATAATCTACACCCTTTGTTTTGTCCATGAGTGGCATCTGCCCATACTTGTCAAAACTGTCACTCGTTCTGATAAAGACATCCAGCTTCTGCTTTGCATACTCGGTCACATCTGAGTGAAGTTCCACCCCATGGTTCACACCAAAAGGACCTAGACGGGTTGAGAATAACAAAGCTCTTAGAATGAAGGCAAGAACTCTTACCCATTTGTTTTCTGTACTTTATTAATTTACATTAGTATGTATAATTACAGAGACACAAAGTTTTGTGGTCTCAGCACATTCTCAGCTATAAACAACCCAAGAGAGTGTTTCAATGTGTAGTACAGTCTCCACTCATAACACAGTATTTGTTTTGATGCCTGAGCTTCTCAAGACACTCTCAAACATTAAAAGAATCATTTGAAATGGAAGGGGGGAAAAAAGCAAAAACTCTGGCTTTTACTGACAAATGTGAAACCTGTGTTTGAAAATGAAAATGGCATAGGCCTCACCTGTGTTCCACAGCCCTTTCTTTACCACTGGTGGTGGTATACAGAACCACAGATCTCTCTAGGCTTACTCAAGTCATCTTTTCCTAGGCATTAAGGCTCTTTCCTTCTTTTTCTTTCTTTCTTGTCTTCTTTCTTTCCGTGTGCATGTGTGTGTGTGTGTGTGTGTGTGTGTGTGTGTGTGTGTGTGTGCAGATGGGCACATCCATGCATATGCATGTAGAGGCCAGAGGTCAACATCAGGCATTTTCTTCTATCACTCGATCTTATTTTTTGAGACAACATCTCCCGCTGAACATGAAGATCACCAATTCAGCTAGACTGGCTGGGCAAGTGCTAAGGATCCTTCTGTCTCTGCTTACCAGCACTGACATTACAGGCACACACTGAAGTGTCCAGCTTTGTACATGGGTTCTGGGGGTTTGAACTCTGGTCCCCATGCTTGCGCAGCAAGCATTTACCCACTGAGCCATCACCCCAACCTCTTTGGGCTTTTTCAATAACATTACTAATCTAGGTAGTTTTATAATCTATTTCCAAAAAAAACAAAACAAAACAGAAACAAAAACAAAAACAAAAAACACTGCCTTAGCCAGGGCTCTTCCAGTTTTTCAGGTACAATCAAGGGAATCACAAGAAGGATAAGTAATCCAGGCCTGTGTTCTCATCTCAAAGCATGGAATTCCACAAGTCTCCATCAAAGACAAGAGTAAAAATCACTTTACTTGGGGCCAGAGAGATGACTCAGTGCTTAAAAGTACTGGTTGAAGAAGACCTGGGTTCAGTTCCCAGCACCCACAGAGCAGCTAACAACCATCTTTAACTCTGGTTCCAGGGGATCTAACAACCTCTTCTGGCGTCAACCACCATTGCATGCCAAAGGTACACTTACATACATGCAGGCAAAACACTCATACACATAAAAATAAATGAATCAAAAGTTTTTGGATTTTTTTTTTTTTTTGGTCTTTTTGAGACAGGGTCTCCCTGTAGCCCCAGCTATCCTAGAACTCACTATGTAGACCAGGATAGCCTTGAACTCACAGAGATCCTCCTGCCTCTGCCTCCCCAGTGCTGGGATTAAAGGCATGTGCCACCATGCCCGGAGAATCAAAAATTTTTAATTAAAAAAAAAAACTTTACTTGAAAAGAAAAGCAAGTGCATCTGAAAAGTTTTTGCCCCACTACAGCATTTTACACAAAGCAGGAATTCAATAACTCTCAGCTGTTTCATAACACTGATATTAATATTAAGAAATTATCAGAGTAATATATCCATTCTCACAACTTAGGAAAATGGCTTAAATGGCTCCAAATAATGTAACCTAGGAAACCTCTTCCATCCCTGAAAATGCCTTAAAAATGCATACTTACTACTAGCAAACAGCAAAACAAAAATCTCTACAAAGAACTTCAATTATTAAATGACTTTAATGACAGTGGAAATAAGGACAAGAATGATGAGATTAAATCAAGAAATCAAATGAGGGGGGCTGGAGAGATGGCCCAGTGGTTAAGAGCACCGACTGCTCTCACAGAGGACCTGGGTTTGATTCCCAGCACCCATATGGCAGCTAATAACTGTCCAAAACTCCAGGTCCAGGGGATCTAATACCTTCTGATCTACTCAGGCACTGCACGACATGGATGCACTTATACACATGCAGGCAATACACTCATATGTGTAAAAAATAAATATTTTTTTAAATCACGTGAGGTTAACATTCACTTCTGCTAGTCTCCCATGTCCACATGAGATTGTAGCAGTATTGGTGCGAAGGGACAGAGGAGACCCCCAACACCAATTCAGGGCCCAGATACATTATTATCCAGCTACCCACCCCCAGAAGCTAAGTTTCAGGCAACTGATAGGAGGCCCATGGTCTTTACTATATTTTCTGTCCAAGGAAATACCACATGTACTACAGCAGAGGAGCTTCAGGCTCTGCACCCACACTCACCTAGAATGAGGCCCACCATAGAGCTGAGATAGCCAGTACCACTGCCTAGGTTCAGAAATGAAAGCCCAGGCTGCAGATCCAATGCCTCCATCACCTCTGAGTAGATGCACGGGGCTGACAGATGAATGTTTCCATGCTTCCATGCCAAGTCTTTGTATGCATTTTCTTTAAATTCTTCAAGATAATAATCTGCTCGATCAATAGCTCGGAAAGCCTGTTCTACCAGGTCGGTCCGGATGTACTGGGCTTCCTTCAAATTATCAATCAGCTCATCGTTGTCCTCACCAGCACTCACAGCACCACCCATGATCAAGATTACAATCAAGAAAGACTATAATTAAAAATTTAAAAACGATTTACTTTAAAGGGAAGAGCAAAATAATGAAAGCTCTAAACACAAGCTATTCCCAAATTCTGAATTCTGAATATAATATAGATGGAGTATTTTTGTTAACAACTACTCCACCCTCCAAAGATGCCAAACTTTGAAAAAAAAAAATGCAGGGCCAGCAAGATGGCTCAGTTGGTAAAGAACATGTCACATAAGCCTGATGACCTGAGTTCAATCCCCAGAACCCATGTAAAGGTGAGAAGAGAACCAATGCCACAAGGTTGTTTTCTGACTTCAACATGTGTGCCTTGGCACGCAGGGGCCTACACATGTACCATAAGTTTTTGTTAATATTTTATTTATTGTTTTTATTTTATGTGTATGAGTGTATTGCCTGCATGCACGTAGGTTACACCTGTGTCCTGCAGTGCCCGTAGAGGTGAGAAAAGGGTGTCAGATTCCCTGGAACTGGAGTTACAGGCAGCTGTTAGCTGCCATGTGGGTGCTGGGATGTGAACCCAGGTCTTGCAGGTTTCCTGCAAGAACAGACAGTACTCTTCATCTCTCCAGTCCAATAATACATTTTTTTAATTAGGAAAAAAAAGTTCCACTAGAAATTCAAGCCAACAACGTTATTTGATGTTTCCTTGAAATCCAATTTTTAAAAATCTTTTACATTTATTGTCTTATCTGTGGAAGATGGAACATGAGTATGGGCATACATGTGCAACGGAATGCAAATGGAGATCAGAAGACAACTTGCAGAAGTGGTTCTCTCCTTTCACCATGAATTTAGATCTTCAGACTTGGTGGCAGGCACCTTTCTGAAACTCAAATTTAAATGGTATCCTAATTATCTGTGTAATAGCATAGGGTATGAATGTTGTCTGTGTGTATAAATTTCACTTCTCCTATTCAAGCCTTCAAGGTCTCCCTCCCTCCCCTAAAATTCCAGTCATTTTATATCCCCTCACAGTGTTTTTTAAAACACTAATGAAAATGTATACTGTTATCTTTAAGAGACACGAAAGCAGAAAGTATAAAAAGCTGTTTTTCTTTGTTCAGGGCCTTTTTTAATATTTTATTTTACTATTTTTAATTTATTTAATGAGTTTATTGCCTGCATGCATGTAAGTGTACCCACAGTCAGAAGACGTCACAAGAGGGTGTAAGATCCCCTCAAACTGGAGTTATGGAAGGTCGTTAGCCACCACTGTAGGTGCTGGGAATCAAACCCAGTTCCTCTACAAGAGCAGCTGGTGCTCTTAACTACTTAGCCATCTCTCCAGCCCCTTAGGACCTTTCTTTAGAGAAATATCTCTCACTGGATCACTGTACTGGTACAATAAATTGCTTCCTGTTTTAGCCTTTGGGATCTCATTCTCTAGGCCTACAATACCTGGAGTTCCACTTCTCAACATACACACAAATTAGCCCACACCAAGCAACCCATCTACCTGCTGACTTGGGTACTCTGATATTTAAAATTTAGGTAAAAATACCAACAAAACTCTCTTCCCAAATAGAACACAATGTGATAAACTCCTCATGGTAACAAACACAAATCAATTTCAAAGCTAAAGTTTAGCAGTAGGACGGGTTATACCAGTACTTTGCAGGCCTACTTCCCTACCACAGCTTCCCCAGGTCCCTCAAAAATGTACTTACCTTCTCCAAAACTGTCTTAGAGAAAAAAGCAGCCCTTTTGATCCCAACTTCTAAAATATAATATGTACCTAATCTGGTGCACAGGTAACATTCTTTCCCCTAGAGAGGTCTTGGTCTTCTTGAAACCAGAAAAATATTCCTCCCAATTTTATACTGACCTCAAGTAACTTCTCCAAACTAACAGCTTTATTTCACATAAGATGGTGATGCTGATATAAACTGTTAGGGAAAAGACCACTGAACCACAGGAAGACTAGTAGACTTTCTGAATCAAGAAGTCTCAGGATTTCAAGGTCATCTTCAGTAAGTTGAAGCCAACCAGGTCTATATGAGATCCTGTCTCAAACAACAACAAAAAAGCTGTTACAGTAGCTCTTCCCTCACAGTCTTCTTCCTGGCACACTAGGGACAGATCCTATATAGCCCATGTACATAAGTAGTAACAGCAATGGGAAAAAGTTTCCAGGAATGAAAATCAACCACTACTTCTGCATCTTAAGAGGTAAATAAAACTATATATTGATAAGCATTATTTCCCATTTTATGATTTTAGCATTCAATCTTCATAATCAAGTCAATATTAGATTCTTTCAAGTCATGGTTCAATTATTACAAATTTACTTCCTTTTGAAATAGATGCAGAGTCCTTGTTATGATGACAGTCCCCACCTGTAACTAGCTCTTAGTACTAATAAAGTTGCTTTTAATCTTGGATAAGCTACTTAAATCTAAGGCTACTCTCCTGGTCTAGCATAGTCATCTTAAAATTTGGGTCAAAGGTTGAAAAAGGTCATGTATTTGGATGCTTACAGATCAATACAGGAAAAGACCTTAAAAATCATACATCCTACTGAATCAAGAAAGCCATCTTCTTCACCCTGAATATAATGCTCCATCATTCTATCTCAATTCCATTTAAAGGTCTTTAGCTTTTAAATATACCACATATCATATACTGGATGTTTCATATCACATTAGGTTTTGAATTATCAAATACTGATTTTTTTCTCATTTGAAAGCTTATTTCATATTAAAAGAACAACTTTTTAGTAAACCTTTCTTATAGTTGCCACCTGCCAGTCACAACTATACTGAACATCAAGAGGTGAGGCAAGTTAGCCTGAGTTGCTAAACTACTCTAGTCACAGCTAGCAAGAGGAAGGTCTGCGGTGAAACCCTGTACTTTTTGGGCAAAGGCTTGTTTTTTGTATACTGCATGGATAGAGCTTTTAAAAACTCACAAGGGGGCAACAGTATTTGTTAATTTCTCATTACTCTTTTGATAACCAAGTATACTGTACATTATAGTGGTAAATTATTATGTGCTGTATAAGTTTGTTGAAAGTGGACTCTGGGAGCAAGGAGGACCTCCTGTCCCAGATTCCAGCATGTTTGTTTCAAGTGTTCTCCAAAATACCTTTTCCTAGGCAAGGTGGGCCCCCACCTTTGTGACAGGGAGGGAAGAGAACAGCAAAACAGCCAAAGAACAAAACATTGTGTCACTGAAAACAACTAGATGGTAAAACATTTCCATCAGACTATAGTTCACCCGATGGGTATAAAAATGCCTGCCACTGCCAGAGGTTCAGTCATGGGAAGCTCATCCATAGACAGAGAAAGATCACTCAGGAACTCCAGATGACTGCCTCAACTTCTTCAGTCGATTTCTACTAGATAATTTTAAGTGCCAATTTGATAACGGCATCTATCTGCTACTTGCTATTTGTTCTTTTACTTGGAAGCCTTATCTGGGGCTCTCAAATCAGGAACTCCAATGGCTACCTCAAACGGGTCTTTCCTATCGATTTCTGCTGATGTTACCTTTTGTTTGCTCTCTCAGTTAGGCTATTCCTCTCGTCTCTGCCAGATGCTCTGGGTGCTCAATTTGATGATGTTTTGTTACCTATCACTACTCACTAGTTCTTTTACTTTTGCTTACTATATATTTAATAAATTCACTCATTCAAAAATGAACGTATGGCTATCATAAATCATCCTGCACACCATAAAGACCACCAAGGTAACCCTATCTACTACTGGTGGGGTATAGGTAAATACAGGTGGGGTCTAGTACTTGATATTAGCATTGTTTAGCAATCTAATGTTCCCTTACATGAAAAAAATCACCTCTTCTGCTGGCATGGACATGATTAGTCACCATGTCATAAAAAGCCCTACAAAACACTTGAAAACACACTCACCAAACAAAATCCCACTGTTGTACCAGAATACAATAGAGTTGACTTCAACTTCTCAAAGTGAAGAAGTACTTTTAGGAGGCTGTCCTTTACTACATTACTACTTGCTGTAATACTTTAACTACAGTCCCTACTCAGAAGTAACCAGCACAGCTAACAGCACAAGAGGGCACAGGAAGACACATTGAGCAGAAGTAGCATAGAAGGCCTCAAAGTGGACAGTGTCAACACAAACCAAGCTGGACGAATGGGGCCTTGGTTCTGCTATGCTATGTTTGGAAGACTACACAAGAAGGCCCACAGTCAAATATGAATATCACTTCTTTGAGGATATCTTGCTGGGGAAAGAGATCTCAAACCATCATCCTGCCAGAAGAATGATGGAAACAACTGAGGCTTCTCACCTCGAGAAGCAGACTCTTAAAAAGGCTGTCACAGAATGAAAGCCTGGCTAGTAGAATATGTTGACTGGAGACAATTCCTACAGAAAAGCTTTGTGACTACCAGAACGGCAAAAAATTAACCAGGTTTTTCCTCACAACACTCCCAGGCAGGTCTCAGTGGAGGATAAAGGCATGGGCCAATGCAAATGCCAAACCCTACCACCGCAGAGGGCTCTTCAATTTCCCCTACATGCCAACAGTGCTGAGCCTCTCAACTCCCTCCTAGAAAGACAATCTACCAAGCGCTCCCTCACTGAGAACAGAGACTGCCAGTGCAGAGGGGCAGATACTCAGATGACATATTTGAGGGGAGAGACAGAGTCCTAAGAACAAAACAAAGGAAGGAGGCCCAGGCAAGTCTTCCCAGATACTTTCCCCAGCCCTCTGGAAAATTTTCTCCTCTGCCGAACACTGCCTTTTTCCAAACACCGCCAAGGTAGAATTTGTTTCAAAACTTGTGTTTGACTTGCCCTTGGGGTTACTGCAAACGTTTGCTACTTAATCTGAAACAGGTTATAGATCTAGAGTTAGCAGATCCCAGAGTGACCAACAGGCAGCCGCGGAGTAGGAATGGAGGTGGGAGAGGGGGCTGGATGGGAGGTACTAGAGGAAAATGTGGAGGGCGCAGGGGAGGGAGGTGGGGAAGATGTGGTGGACAGGCACCGGGGAATGGGGGGTAAAGCACTAGGGCACGGGAACTCTCGGGGAAAACCTGAGGAACAGGGACGCTGGGGGAAGGGTGACCAGAGATGAAGGGCTACGGAGGGGAGGGCGGCGGGGCGGCGGCGGCTCTACCTCCGCGCTCAGCGGCCCTCCGGCTTGGGCCACGACAGCAGTTCCTCGGACGCCTATGTCGCGTCGCGCGGACCCCGGCGCCGTAAACATCCGCTGATTCCTCTGAGCCTGCGCGCGCTACATCCGAACTGAGCATGTGCAGCTGGGGGAGCTCTTAAAGGGGCGATGACGTTTCCAGTGAGCGGTCCCGGTCCACAACACTGGCTTGTGTCCTTTGGTGGGTTCCTGCGTTGGTGGCCACGCCGTATACTCGGGGGTGCCCCCTGCCTCGTGATACTAGGGGGTGCGGGTGTGTCGGTGGGAGAACGGTCCCCTGTTTGCGGGGGGGCCTCGGCTTCTGGCCATAGCTAGACAGCGCCGCCGACCAAGTGCAGCTCTGGGATGGCAGACCGAACAGGACTGAGGAAGCAGGGTTAGGGTTGGGTGCCCACCTCTACCGGACAGCCGCACTAATGGCTGCAGATCCTGTGGCTGTCGGAGCACCAGGCCCAGGGGACGGCCATCTGCACGCTTGCTCCGGGCAGTCCTTACTCTCTTCTGGCCTCTGCAGAGGAAACAGACCGAATGGACTACTGTCTCAACATCCATCCGAGCTACCTGTCAAGATTGGTCTGAGATTTGCTCTTCAGATTTTGTATTATCTTGATTGCGCACTCCTCCACACACCTTGAAGAAAGTAGCGTCAACATGGAAGGAGCCTGAGTCTCTGAGTCAGCGTCTGTAAGAGAGTCACTCACCCTGCAGTGGAAAATGATTATACTATTTTTAAAATTTACGTAGAAAGGCAAAAGACCCAGAATGGACATAGTAGTGATGGAAAAGAATAAAATCAGAAGACTGTCAGCAGCAACTGGCTTCCTGTCTTACTAATAAAATTATGGTAATAAGTATGAGAAAAAATAAGATAAATTAATAGAAAAGAGAACAAAGTCAAGAGGAGACCCAATAGAGCCAAAGGATAGTCCTTTCAACAAAAGATTTTGGAATAATTACATATTCGCATGCAAAAATAATAGAGACACATCTCATATTTTATACAAAAACCTTCTAGAGGTTAACATAAAAGAGAATCTAGCCCACCCAGGGTTTAGTGATAATGTTTTAGATAAATCCCATGAAAGAAAAAATGGGTACATTAGATTTCGGTTTGTTTTGTTGTTGTTGTTTTGTTTTGTTTTTAAATAGCTCAGTGGTTAAAAGCACTACCACTCTCACAGAGGATCTGAGTTGGGTTCTCAGCACCCCACATCAGGGGCTCACAGCTGCCTGTACCTCCAGTCCTTCCAGGGGAATCTGATGCCTCTGGTTTCCACAAGCACCTGCACTCACATGCACATACCCATACATACATATATATATATGTATGTACTTGATTAAAATAAATCTTTGAAATAGGACACCATTTCTTTGTGAAAGATACTGGTATGAAAAAAAGGATACTGTTATGAGGGAAAAAGAAACTACAGATATTGATATTGATACAGAATATTAATAAAGACAATATTCTCAAAACACATCTAATAAAGAATTTTTAAAGAATCCTTAAAACTCTATAAGAAGACACAACTAAAATGGGCAAAAGCTCTAAACAAATATCTCAGCAAAGGAAATATACAGGTGGCAAATGAGCTCAACATCATGTATCATTAGGGAACTGCAGATTTTAAAAACAGAGATACCAATACACATCTGGTAGAATAGCCAAAATTTATAATGCTAGCAACACCAAATACTGGTGAGGATGTAGAACAACAGCACATCTCTTTCATTGTCAGTGGGAATGAAAAATGATAAAACTACTTTCGAAGATAATTTGACAGTTTGTTACTGAGCTAAACAGTTTTATCATAAGAACCAGCATTTGAACCCAGATGTGATGGCACACACCTATAATTTTAGCACTTGGAAGGTTGAGGTCTTCCTTGGCTACATAGCAAGTTCTAGACTACAAGGGATAAGGCTCTGTCAAAAAAAAAAAAAACAAAAAAACCTCAGCATTCAAGCTCATAAATATTTACCACTAGCACAAAAACCAGCACATAAGTATTATAACAACTTCATTCATAATTATAAAAATGGGAAGCAACCAAGAGAGTCAACAGATGAATAACTGGTGTATCCACATAACTGGTGTATCCACATAATCAGTGCTTGTTTAAGTGAGCTACTGAGCCATGAAAAGACACGGAGGAACCTTAAATGCTTATTGCTATTTTTTATTTTTTAACTTGGTATGGAGGTATGGGACTGTGGTATGTGCATGTGCTTGCATATATGCACATGTATGTGAACATGTGTGTACATGCATGTGGAAGCCAGAGGTCACTGTTGAGTGTCTTTTATCACACTCTGCCTTGTGGGGTTTTTTGTTGTTGTTGTTGTTGTTGTTGTTGTTGTTTTTTGAAATAGCATCTCTCTTTGAACCCAGAACTTACCCACCAAGTCCCCAGGATCCTCCTGTCTTCACCTCCCAGCACTGTACCATGGCCAAAGTTTTATGTGGGTGCTGAGAATTCAAATTCAGATCCTCTTCCTTGCATAGCAGTCACTTTACCAACCTGAGCTCTCGCTCCAGTCCCTAAACATTTATTGCTAAATGAAAGAAACCAGTATGAAAAGGCTACATGTTGTATAATTCCAATGACATGACATTGTAGAAAAGTAAAAATTGTAGAAACAGTAAAAATCTCAGTGATTGCCAGGGACAAGGTAGAGCATGAAAGATTTTTAGGTCATTGAATGATTATGTACGATACTGTAAGAGTGGAAACATGTCATTAACATTTGTCAAAAACCAAAAGTTGGGTATGTAGCTCAATGGTAGGGCAAGGGCCTAGCAACTTAAGCAAGGCCCTAGCATCACAAAAACAAACAAACAAAATCACAGAATATTTAGCACCAAGCGGGAACCCTAAGATAAACTATAGACCTTAATTCATAGTAATGTATCAATGTTGATACACCAGTTTTAACAGTGTATACTAATGTAAGCCATTAAGAACAAGAGAAGCAGCAGTTGTAACAGCATGCACAAAACCTGCATAAGCTCAAGCCAGACAAACTCCCAGCATGAAGAGCTCAGAAGGTGGGCACAATGTCCCAACCCTGACTGAAGAGCTACTGTCAATTAGTAGCTGCTGGGAGAGGGGGATTCTGTTTTCTTTCAGAGTATGGCCCCTGGTAGGTCAACCACACTGTAGTGGATGGCCAGGCACCCAAGGGTATGTGGACAGTACAAATTGCACTGCATAGAATTTAAAAAAAAAAAAAAAGGATACAATGTTGGGTGAATAGGGAAGCAGGGCTGTGGGACCTGAGAAAAATTAGGAGATAAGAACAGGAGGTCTGTGCAGGAGGTGAGGGTCCATTGGACTCTACTCTCTGCTGAAATTATAAACATAAAACTCTTGAAATTAAAGTTTATTGCATTTAAAATTTTATTTTGGGGGGGTGCTCTTTTTGAAACAGGGCCTCCCTATAGGTCCAGCTGGCCTGGAACTTGCTATGTAGACCAGGCTGGCCTTGAACTCACATAGATCTGACTGCCTCTGCCTCCCAAGTTCTGGGATTAAAGGCCTGTACCATCACACCTGGCTTATTGCATTTTTTTAAATTAATTTTTTCCCAGATATTTAAAAGCTAAAAGAACTCAGTGGCAAACGTATACAATGTAAAATAATGAAGACTTTTTCAGATGGAAAGCCAATGATATTAGATGGAAATACAGATCTACACAAATGAATCACAGGCACAGGAACTGCAGGGTTAAATGATCTTGCATCTCTGCCCTAGCAAAGACACCACTTCTTGCTTTATTTATCGCTGTGTTATAGTTGTTTTTATAATGGTCAAGTGTTGCTTTAGCAATTACAATAATGGTAAATGATTTTGATCTTACAGAAGTCTCACAGCCAACAACCCTGCTCTTGAGGTGCTCTCTGTCTAAACACCAGAGAGTAGCTATGTGGCTTTGCCTGCTCAGTACTTGGTGATAGTTGGGGAGGCTGTTTAAATGCTGGCTGTAGGAAACCCAATAGGTGATGTGCTTCACACTACCCAAAGTCTCCCTCCTCCCTTTTGCAGAACAAGTTCTTCCATGGAAGACACCCTACACTCAGCCCCTTCCATCATCCTGCAGTGGAGGTAGGCAGCAGAAACCTAAGGAACGATCTTACACTTGAGCGCGCTGGGGGTGGGGGGTGGGGCGGCAGTGCTAGGCAGCTGGATCCAAATGACAAGATGCAAAATCTGCCACAAGGTGTCACCTACTACATACCTGAATTGGGAAAAGGAATCAAAATGGGACATTTTAAAGGAAGACATTTTTCCTCATTTTAGGCCTTTTACAATGAAATTAAGAGTCTTCAGACAAGTATCAAGGCCTCTCTTCTATTCATACTACATTCCCACACCATGAAGACGCTAATCCAGAAATACATGTATGGAATGGTTGGGAAAGGAGGTCCTCAAAATATTTTCTCATCTTAAACCTCTTTTTAAAAAATTAGTCTTACATGGGCCCTTCTTACATAGTTTGCAAGAATTATTTTTGTATCACCTTAACTGGGCCTTTATAAGAAGAATATGTCCTTATCTGAAACCCTGCTGATACAGGGTCCTTACAGAGGTCATCTACAAAGACTCCTGGGATAGAACTACTCTGAGGAGGGACACCTTTAGGAGGTGGGACCCAGGGTCTCAGTGACACTGCTGCCAATGTCAGGAGCTCAGAATCCCTTACCCCTGAACCAGCCCTTCGGCCACTGTCCACTCTTCACTGTTTCTTATAAACTATGAGAAGGAAACTAAAGAAGAGGTCTTGGAAGTAAAAGCTGTGCTGGAAACTGCTACCTCTGGCTTGGGTAGCAGCCTGCCTAAAGCTGAGGAGGCAGCAGTAACAGATGAGTCCACACACTGGATGACTATGGGTATCAACCAAACCTGTGAGTACAAACAGGAGTACTTTTTGTT